ATTTTCATTTTTTCCATAGCGCATGAGCTGGAACTTATCTTCGTTAAACACCATATTATTTTCTGTAGCCCATAGAAAGACCTGATCTACATCTGACTGGAGGTTTGCCGTGTCCTCTATGTTGCCTACTCTCATGAAGATCCTAGTGTCATCTGCAAAGGATGATACAGTGCTATAGGTTGTGTTCTTGTCTATGTCCGATATGAGGATGAGAAAAAGTACTGGAGCAAGCACAGTACCCTGGGGGACTGAGCTCTTCACGGTTGATGGGCTGGATTTTATTTTGTTGACTATTACACATTGGGTTCTGTTGGTCAGGAAATTGTAGATCCATCTGCCTATTTTTCCGGTAATTCCTTTTGAACGCATTTTATGTGCAATAACACCATGGTCACATTTATCAAAAGCTTTTGCGAAATCTGTGTAAATTACATCAGCGTTTTGTTTGTCTTCCATAGCATCTAACGCCATATCATAGTGGTCCAGCAACTGCGACAGGCAAGAGCGCCCTGTTCTGAAACCATGTTGTCCGGGGTTATGGAGATGCTGTGATTCCATGTATTTTTTTATCTTACTTCTTAGCACTCTCAAAAATTTTTATGATGTGCGATGTTAGTGCTATCGGTCTGTAATTTTTTGCCTCTGCCTTATTTCCTCCTTTATGAAGTGGTGCTATCTCTGCTGTTTTTAGTATATCAGGAATAACGCCAGTATTTAGGCTTTGTCTCCACAGAATGTGGAGGGCCTGCGATAGTGTTTTTTTACAGTTCTTTATGAATATGGAGTTCCAAGAATCCGGGCCTGGTGCAGAGTGCATAGGCATACTGTTTATGGCTTCTTCAAAATCCAGTGGGGATAGGGTGACGTCTGATATATGATTTGATGTTGGTATCATATCCATGAAAAATTCATTTGGGTTATCAATCTTTAGTGTGTTTAATGGCTCGCTGAAAACAGAGTCGTACTGCTTCCTCAGTAGCTCGCTCATTTCTTTGTTGTCATCGGTGAAAGTTCCATCTCCCTTTCGCAGGGGCCCGATACTAGATGTGGTTTTTGATGTTGATTTTGCATAGGAGAAAAAATATTTCGGATTTCTCTCTATTTCACTGATGGCCTTTTGCTCTCTTTGCCTCTCCTGGGTTTTGTATGATTCTTGTAGCTTCCGTTCAATTGTTTCTATTTCTCTACCTAACCTTCTTCGCCGTTCTTGAGATAGGGTGCGACTCTCAAGTTGTTCCGCGATTCGTTTTCTTCGCCTATATAGGGAACGACGTTCCCGTTCCAATCTGCATCTCTTCCTCTTTTTTTCTTAGAGGTATGCGGTTTGAACATATTTCTAGTGCTACTGAGCTTATATTTCCCAGGCACTGGTTCAGGTTTGCATTTTCTAGCTGTTCTTCCCAGTTTATTTCTGTGAAGTCCTGGTTTATTTGCTCCCACTTTATCTGTTTATTATTGAAGTTGAATTTGCTGAAATCTCCTCCACCGGGAATCTGGACTGGTTTAGAAGGTCTACTCCCCATGGTTGTCATAACTTCAATTAAGTTGTGATCTGAGTAACAGATATTTGTAATCATTATGTTCCTGATCAATTCATCATTATTAGTGAAAATGACTTCCAGCGTGTTCTCCTTCCTAGTTGGTTCTACTATTTGCTGGTTTAAGGCAAACCTGTCGCACATCCGTAGCAGGACATTTGCATGTGCCTGTTCATTTAGGCTACTTCCTGGTATTCTTTCTGATATTACTGTATTAGCCAGGTGCTTCCATTTCAGGTGCCGTAGGTTGAAGTCCCCAAGCAGGATGATGTTTGGAGCTGGATTTGTGAGGTTTTCCAAGCAGTGTTCTATTTTCATTAGTTGGTCTTTAAACTGCTTAGGGTTTGCCTCCGGTGACTTATATACAAGGACAATAACTACATTTAGAATCTCTATTTTGATTATCAGCACTTCCACCATATCATTTGAGGTGTTTAGCAGCTCAGTACAGATAAGTGTGTCTTTGATGTAGAGGCTGACCCCACCCTGAAGCCGGTGTTTCCTATCACATCTGAAGAGATTGTACTCTGAGGTCCATATTTCACCATCATGGTAGTCCTTTGTGTGGGTTTCTGTTAGGGCTGCAAACACTGCATTTGCCTCATGAAGGAGGCAATATAATGATCATCAATAAAGTGAACTTTGTTGGATTTGCGTGTTTTTATACCCTGGATGTTGGCAAATATAAATGATGTTATCGTGTTAGTGGAAGTGCTGGATGCTTTACTTGGTGTTAATATCTGAGGCTCTGGTAAGGAGGCCACTCTGTTTGCGTCCAGGGTGTGTCGTTTTGGAAGTGATTCGTCCAGTTTTGGTAGCAGGACGGGTGTTGTCTGGTGTAGAACCTGTGTGCTTGTTGATAATTTGAATTCCAGTCTTGTGGGTATCTCCGTTCCCCTCTGTAATCCTGTAGTGGTTCCATCTGACTGTTCCTCTCTCTTATATTTACTACTCTGTTTCTGCCTTCCTCTAAAAAAATTCCAGTAGTGTCATATTGATCTTCCCGTCTATAACGCTCTGTACCTCTCACATGGAATTCCGGACACTGAAGATTGTAGCATTTTTTGTCCCTAATTGAAAATTGACATAATTTAGGGTGGAAGTATCTACACCCTGTTCCAAAACGGCATGTACCCCTCTTCAACATGTTCCTGCATTTTCGAGGATGCAGAAAATGGCATTTTGCTCCTAATTTTCCATATTTGCATATTCCTTTAGCGTAGAATTTGCAAATGTGTTCCGGTTTTGCGTTTTTCAAGGTATTTATATCTGTGACTGTCTTGTCTACCTCTTTATTGGAGCCATCTCCGTTTTTCGTCCCAATTCCTTCATCAATGCACTGTCTCACTGTTGCTCTCATCGTTTATATTATCTGGCTCTGCAATATTGCTGTTATTTTTTTTTTTTTTTGTACTTTGTATTTTGTACCACAATAGTCTCCTCCTCCACACTACTGCTGCGGTTCTCTAAACTATCTGTTCCTGAGTTTTGGTCGTTATCCAATGTTGACTTTTCCCAGTCCGCATATATCACTGGTAGCCTGTCTGTGAATGATAATCTCTGTGACTCGGGAATGTTTTTCATCAGTTTAGTTATGTTCTCTAACATTAATCTGTCATCTTTGCAAACCCAGTAAATTCCTTGCCTTTTTATGCATCCTGGAGCTAATTCTGTACAGCCCAGGTGAAATCTTACGTTACAAATGCAGCACGTTACGCCTGCATTACGTTTTCCCAGTACTCCCGAACACTCGCCACACCTCTCCATTGTCTGATGTATTGTGTTGTATTTGAGATTCACTGTATGGATCACTTGTTGATGTCAGTCCTTTTAACTCTTTATAAAATTATATGTATATATATTTATATGTTTAATATTTATAATATTATATGTATACCATATATTTGTAATATTATGTATGTTATTTTGTTCAAACTTTATGGCAGGTACTTAGCGTAGGGTAGCGAAGCTGGTTCCCCGGTCGGTACAGGTGACCTCTTGTTGTCCCAGGTTGATGTCACCAGTTTCCAGTTACCCGATTTATAACCACTGATGCCGCCTCTTGCCACTATTCTATATTTCTAGTATTCTATATTTATAATATTCTATGCACGATTTTCCTTCACTTCCAAATTATATGTTGTTGTGATACCCGTTCCACATCACTGTTCCACGAATCACCGTTCACTATTTTTTTTCCTAATACACGCATGTACACAAAGCCTCGTTCACTGGCTCACACGTGGTCTCCCGTTTATTCTCTATTTAACACAAAGTTCTATTGCTAATGACTATTTTAAATTTTCCCGCGGGTCACTATGCACTTTGTTATGTCTGTAATCAGTAATCCATGGCAGTAGTCCTAAGAATCCCGGTTAAGAGATAAGGATAGATGAGAAAGTAATAGTAATACTATTGCAAACAGGATGGATATAGGGTCAAAACACGTCACACAATGTTTATGGGGTCCACTACCACCTTTTGGATAGGTATGGCGTTCACTACAACCTTTTGGATAGGTATGGGGTCCACTACAACCCGAGGATGTGTATGGGGTCTACTACCGCCCACAGAATGATTATGGGATCCATTACTGCTCACAGCATTGCCATGAGGTCCATTACCGCCCACAGGATTGCCATGTGGGTACTGTACTGTGATAGTACTTATGATGAATTATTCTAGGGCTTCAGTGACATACGCTCTGATACAAGTAGTGTTGACGATCCGAGTACGAGCAGCGAGGGTTTTACTAGGCGGGGTTTTGCTGCCCCAGCAACACGTCGTGGCAAGCCGAAGCGTGTCACGCAGCTCCAGCACCAGACGACGGAACCATGTTTTTGGTGCTCATGGTGGGTGTTGGCCATGGTTGTAGTCTCCTCATAACAGTGAGATAACATGAGGAGCTGAGAGAACAAATTCCCCATAATAGTGAGATAAGTGGAGCTGAGAAAATAAACCCCCATAACAGTAAGATAACAGGAGGAGCAGAGAGAACAAACCCCCCATAACAGTAAGATAACCAGAGGAGCTGAGAGAACAAACCCCTCCATAACAGTAAGATAACAAGAGGAGCCGAGAGAACAACCCCCCCCCCCATAACAGTCAAATAACCGGACGAGTATCTACAACTTTTACATTATTTTCTTGAGGGAATCCGAGACAGCCCCACTTCGTAACAAACAAATAAATATTATAAAAATATTCATACAGTTTATCATATGTATTGTTTAACCTTCATTAACATTTGTATTAATTTTCGAAATATAACTCCAATTACCCAAAGTTTCCGAGTCATTATAATTTGTGCTTCATTTTAAAGATTCAGGGACGTAACTCACGAGCCTAATGTTATCAGCGAACAATGATATTGTCCAGTATAACCTGCACTGTCAGGTGTGTGCAACACTGTGTGTCCAGGTGTGACCAACACTGTGTGGATGACAGGTCAATATGTCTCACCTCTGTCAGAAGCTCATCAAGTCCCAGCCAATAGTCGGAGTTGTTTCCAAACACAGCATAGGAGACCACCCGCTGCTTGGGTCCTGCCGCCCATGCCCGCCGGCCACACGAACCGCCCACGCCTTCCAAGGACACTTTCGGGACTTCCTTCTCAGGAACACAGACCTTCCCGTCACATCTGCAGCGTCCACCGTCCCACCATGGGAGATGTTCCTCCTGTGAATAACCATACAGTTATTACTATCATTGTTTACCATCCCACCATGGGACATATTAGGCCAGTCATTAACCATACAACTGCTACAGTCTTTTATTACAATGTAACTAAAATGTACCATTACCATAGGTGCACACCTGCCTCAGACAGTCACAGACTCCTCATCAGTGCCATGTTTTCCTAAGCAAGATAATCGTTGCAGTCTTGTGGAATAAAGTTATATAACACTGCCAGACGTATGATCAACACAAATAGAGTAATTTGTGTTTCTCCCGTTTTGCAAAACCACGTAATAATGTTCAGATTAATATAATATGTTATGGAAAGCATTCTGATGGAGGAATGTCTTCAATAATATTTGTTATCACTGAATATAATAATTTTGGCAGAGATTTGGACCACGTAAGCGCAGCGTTCTCCTGGGGCCAAATTCACGAAGCAGTTACGCAAGTACTTACGAACCTGAACATCTTTATTCAATCTTTGGAGGCTCTGTTTACAATTATTAAAGAGTTAATAAGCTTCGAAGCACCAGGATGATGTTTATAACAATAACAGTTGATTGGCAAGTTTTCATGCTTGTAAACCGTTTAATAAATGTAACCATAGCCATCAAAGACTGAGGAAAGATGTACACGTTGCGAAACTGTTTCGTGAATCTGGCCCCAGTTGGTGCCCTGCCGCTACGACTACTACTTCCTTCACTAACTGTGGGCAGATTTCACCGCCAGAAACTTCAATAATAAATTCATTTCATTAAATAATAATCTTCTAATCTTTTTTTCTAGTTTCACAGTTTCGTTCACTATTAAACTCATTACTGTAGTCTATATAAATAAAAATGGTAATGTTTGTTTGTTCAAAATCGCTGATCTCTGAAAGTTCTTCACCGATTGCTTTGAAATGTTCACACAATGTTCCATTCACATCCTAGTAGGTTTTTATATACATACTATAAATGTCACATCTGTGACTTGATTTTTTTTTTTTTTTTTTAACGGTGTTTTTCATGTAAGGAAAATCTTTGAAACCTCTTTGCCAATTGCTTTGAAATTTTGACAACGTTGCATTCGAATAAGCGTGTGTTTTTATATACCTATATACATGCCTCACCTGTGATAGAAAAACCATGTTTTTTTTTAAAACAGCGCCATCTGTTGAACTTAAGAGCAACACAAGCTGAAAACTGCAAAAGAACTTCACCAATTGCTTTGAAATTTTGACACAATGTTCCCTTCGAATACACACATTTTTTATATACCTACTATATAGATGCCACACTGGCGACAGGTAAACACATGCTTCTTTGGAAAAACAGCACCATCTGTTGCACGTAATAGCAACACACGTTATACTAAATATGTTATGATTCCATTTCAATGTTTTCGATTGCATTGATAAATTGAATTTTCAACGATTTTGATTTATTTATTTTGTGTGACATTGTGTTGGAATTGCACTTTGTTGCTTACCATATCATTCATTTCATAAGTATAAGTTTTGATTCCAAACCTGTGACAGGTAAAAACATTCTTTTTTTTAAGAAACAGTACCATCTGTTGCATGTATTTACATGCACGTTATTTGCACATTGCACTGTTGATTTATTTATTTTGTATGACATTGCATTGGAATTGAGCCGTGTTGTTTACCATACTATTCATTTCGTAAGTTTACGTATAGATTCCACACCTGTGATTGGTACATAAGTAATTATCAAAAGAAAGCACCAAACCAAGAAGGCCATGTAGCACCATCAAATGTGCGGGATAATCAGAGGGCACTAAATATCACCAAGGATGCCAATACGAGAACAGAAAAGCATAAGGCGAATGATATCAAAGGTATCCAAGTCACCAAGAATACTATCGAGAGACAAGCGACCGCGAGAGGTAGTCGGAAAACAAGACACACGCTTGTCCCGGAAGTCAGGATATTCAACAAGGATATGCACGACCATAAGAGGGACAATGCAATTAGGCCAATAAGGAGTAGGGCGGCGCTCCATCAAGTGACCATGAGTCAAGCGAGTATGGCAAAAACGCAACCTCACCAGAGCCGTTTCCCATCGCCGGTTATGGTGGTAGGACGGCCACAAGGACACACAACTTTTAGGAGTACGTAGTTTGTTACCAATGTAACAGACGACCAACAAGCCTGCCAATGGGTAAGGATGGAGGAATGGATATCCGGGTAAAAGTAGGAATAAGGAATATCTTTACGAGAGATGGGGCAAGAGCGGACAGCTTCCCTGGCAGCAGCATCCGCACGCTCATTTAAAGAGACGCCAATATGGCTGCGAACCCAACAAAACTCAACCGACTTAAATTTATTGTGAACAAGAAACAGCCAATCTTCACAACCGCTGGATGAAACAGATTAAAGGACCCGAGAGCCATGAGGGCACTACAAGAGTCAACAACAACTACAAAGGAAGACCGACAACGAGAAAGCAGGAGACGAAGAGCAGAGAGAATAGCATAAAGCTCCGCAGTGAAGATGCTACTCTCTGGAGGTAAGCGACACATATAAGTGCAATCACGAAAAACAACAGAGTATCCAACACCGTCAGCAGACTTAGATCCATCGGTGAAGACGGAAATAGAGTGGGAGTGAGAAGAAAAGTTCTCAAGGAAAAGGCGTTTTAGAACCGTAGGAGGCGTAAAAGCTTTAGTGATGCGGGTCAAGGATGCACAAAACAGCAGAAGGGGGGACTCTCCATGGGAGCAAAGAAGGAACAACATGAGGAGAAATATTAGAAATACGAACAGAAAGAGAATCCTGTAAGCGAGGCAACTGAACAGAAAGAGGGAGGTGGTGCAGTGGAACAGGAACCGCAGGAGGGGTAAATGTTAAAGCACTACAGAGGGGAGAGGAAGGATGTTGCAAGGATCGCGCAAGATAGCGAAGACAGTAGCGATCACAGCGGTCCTGGAGAGATAGGAAGCCAGTGTCAACATACAAGCTGAGGACGGGAGTCGAACAAAAGGCACCAGAACTGAAGCGCAACCCAGTATGGTGCAAAGCATCAAGACGGCGAAGAGTAGAAGGAGAAGCAGACAAGTAAGCAAGGCAACCATAATCGAGCTTAGACATGACGAGAGAGGAAAGTAAAGCGAGGAGAGTGTGCCTATCTGCTTCCCAAGAAGTATAGGACAATCTCCGAAGGAGGGTAGGGGCCTTAGAGCACTCAACACGGAGGTAAGAGATATGGGAAGACCAAGAAAAACGAGTGTCAAAGAATAACCCCAAAAGCTCCGCAGAGTCTTTGTACTCAAGGGGATGAAGAACAACCCGTTTCCGAGTAAAAGTCATGGCACAAGTCTTAGTAGTAGAGAACTTGAAGCCATGATCGGTGGCCCAAGACGACACGGCATCAATCGCAAGTTGAAGCCGGCGTTGAAGGAGAGGCGAATCATCACACTGACAGCAAAGGGTAAGATTATCGACAGAGAGCAGAGAAGATGCCTGAAGGAAGAGAGGAAAGAAGATAATTGAGGGCAACCAGAAAAGGAGTAGTGCTCAGAACACTACCCTGGTGCACACCTTCGTATTGCTGAAAAAGAGGCCGAGAGAGTGGTACCAAGCCTCACCCGAAAGGAACGACGAGAGTGGAAGCTACGTAGAAAGAAAGGGAGACGACCATGAAGGCCAAAAGAATGAAGCTGGGATAGAATATGATATCGCCAAGTGGTGTCGTAAGCCTTTTCCAGGTCAAAAAGGACGGCAACAACGGAGGTCTTCGCAGCAAAAGCAATACAAATATAGACCAAGTTCACCAGGACATCTGTTGTGCTGCGGCACATGTGTAAACCAAATTGAGAAGGGGAGAGGAAGTGATGGTGTTCCAAGAACCACATCAGACGAACGTTAACCATACATTCAAAGAATTTGAATACAACTTGTGAGGGCAATAGGGCGAAAGTCTTTAGGGGATGTTCCCAGAGACCCTGGTTTGCGAACAGGGAGGACAACGGCACCGAGCCAGTCCTCAGGGACTGATGACGACTCCTTGATCTGATAATACAGAATTAGTAAATACTGAGACGTGCACGGAGGGAGATGGTGAAGCATTTCATAATGAATGCCATCAGAGTCTGCTGCCGTAAAACCGCAGAGGGGCAAGGCAGACAGAAGTTCAGAGAGAGAGAAGGGATCGTTATAGGGAAGTTGAAGACGAGTGCAGAAATCTAAAAGACGAGATTCAAGGACAGGTTTATGAAGGAGGGAAGATGAAAACCAGAGTTAACAGAAGAAAGGTGGGAACCCAGTTCAGTAGCGACCTGCAACGGGTCCGCCACAAGAGTACCATGGAGGTGAAGGAGCGGTGAAACATCGGGAACGAACTTACCCGCTATATTGTGGATACGCTTCCAGATCTGCGGCAGAGGAGTTTCGGACGTAATGGTGGAGACATAAGATGCCCAACATTCACGTTTAGCCATACAGATGGCCCTACGGGCCACCTTACTCGCCTACCGAAAGAAAAAAAAGAATCGGCCGTTTGCCAAGGCGGTGTCTCTTCCAGGCTGCATGCTTACAGCGGACACCCCGAGCACAGTCTGCATTCCACCAGGGAACGCACTTCGAAGGACCCCGAGAGGAAAAGCGAGGAATAGAGCGGAGGGAAGCGTCGAAGACGGTGTCATGAAAAAAGAGGAGAGAGCGAGGGAGAGGCAGAAGGGAGAGGTCAGAGAGAACAACACTGAAGGTAAATAGGTTCCAGTCCGCCTTAGCAAACTGCCACCTAGGGAAGGAAAGGGGAGGGTGAAAAGAGAAAAAGGTAACAAGGATGAGGAAATGGTCACTGCCATGGAGGTCATAAAGAACCTGCCACATGAAATCTAAGTAAAGAGAAGACGAGCAACGAGAAAGATCAAGACAGGAAAGGGTGCAAGTCCGAGAGTCCAAATGCATCGGCTCACCAGAATTCAGAAGAGAATGGGAAGAAGAGAGGATAAACAGCTCAAGAAGGCGACCCCGGGTATTTGTCAGAACA